TGGGAGCGGGGGTGGAATTCCTGATTGTATGCCTTCTCTTGATACTGCAAAGCCAGGTCACGTGCAGAGAGCCTCCCTGTTGCTTTCCCTAGTATGGTGCTAAATGCTTCAGTTTTGTGTTGACTCACAACCCCATAGAGTTGGGCCAGTCTTGTCTGCTTGCTCACTAGTTATCTGCAAGTGCTCACTCTGGACACAGTTGGGAGTGCACTCAAGGTAGTTAACCACATGGTTTGGAGATGTGTACTGAGCACTGGGGGGAACTCTTATATCAACTGGGGTGTCTAGAAGTGCAGTGTCCCTGGCAGCTTATGGACATGCTTCCTGATAGAGTCTGCTATGGAGTTAGTAGGGTCCACACCTCTTTGAGGTCCTCAAAGAGCTCCATGTGCTCTTCTCACAGGTGCTTCCCAGTTCCAAGTCATGCAGCACATCCCAGTACTGTAGAAAGAACTGGGTTTCTTTGGCAGCATCTCACACAGCTAGAGGAGCATGTCACTCACATGCTGTCCCTTTCCCCCATGGGAGAAGACATGGGCCAGGATGGCCTCTTGGCCACTGAGATGTGCCATCCTGGGGAAGGGTGATAAAGTGAAACTTTGGGCTCTTGTCCTTTTTAATGCATCCAGTCTTCTTTTTTCTTGCTCCAACAGTGTGCTGGAGCTTCTCCGCTGGACTCCTGGATTTCCACACAGGCCCTCTCATCCATGGATGATTGTCCAATCAGTGTTCTTTAAGAGGAAGACAATAGAAAATTATTCTGGCATATTGATGAAGTCTGTTTTCTCAGAAAGTAATATTTCATAACAACAAAATAGGGAGTCCTTTCACAGGAAGGCAAAAAAATAGGGTACGAAGGAAAGTTTTTATGTTTGCATAAAATTATAAGTAAAAGATCCAGGAAACCCTGAAAAGTCTGCTACAGAAATGACTTTATGCAATCTATTAATCATGTTGAATGTTGAGCTTACTGTTTATTAAGTCCGAAGATCCCATAAGGAGAGGAAGGATGGTGCTGAATATTAGAGTAGCTGGTTAAAGAAGGTTTTACTGATTTATATAAAAAATCTAATATCCTTACACCCTGTATATTGAAATGATGCAAAATTGTTTAACAAGGACTGAAGAATATTTCCAGTATATTATACTGAAAAACACTGAGTGCTTTTCATATGTGACACAATAAATTTTGAGGGAGAAGTAATTTAGAACAATTTTTAAAATGTAATGATTATGGCATCCGCCCCCTTTGTTCCCTGTGCTGCTGTTGTTTAAGGCCTGCTTCTATTCCGTCCTCTTCTATCTCTGTTCTTCCCATTTTTATCTCTTTTCATTTATCCCACTGATTCTTGTCCTATCACTTTTTTTTTTTTAATGTTTATTTATTTTTGAGAGAGAGAGGCAGAGCACGAGTGGGGGAGGGAAAGAGAGAGAGAGGGAGACAGAATCCAAAGCAGGCTCCAGGTTGCTCTGCTGTCAGCACAGAGCCCTATGTGGGGCTTGAACCCACGAACTGCGAGATCATGACCTGAGCCAAAGTCGAACACCCAACTGACTGAGCCACCCAGGTGCCCCATCCAGATCACTTATTTTGCTCCCATTATATCTTCATGAGTTCTTTGGACCCACTCTCCCCCACCACCCAACCTTTATTTTACTCTCTTTCATTCCACCTCACTTTCTCGGACTTATTCTGTCTCACTTGTTTTCCCTCTTTGATATGTTCTTTCTTCCTTACCCTCACATGCAACTCAGACATCTGTATGGATGTACAAAAGATGCCCACCTCCTGGGAAGAGTTCACTTTCCAGTGAAACACTGGGAATGTAAACACACCATGCCAGGCACAGCAAGGAAGGTGAAGTTTGGGACAGGACATGGGATGTCAGGAGAGGTTGGTGACCTCCCCTGTCCAAGGCTCAGGGACCTCCTTTAAGGTAGACTGAAGGGAGGGCCTAAGAAGCAGCCGGGTGCAGCTCCCAAGACAAAAAAGGGGTCTCAGGAGAGGACTGGGGTCTGCAGAGTCCTAAGGCTGGGGTTGGCATGGCATCTGGGGGGTGGCCTTAAGTGCCAACAGGTTTGATGGGTGGTGAAGGGCAATAATCCACTTCCCTTAATTGTGACCTGACATTGATTGGGACAGGAGTCCATGAAAAGCTGAAAGGGAGAAAGTGCAGACAGGGATAGCTTCCCATTACTTCTTAACCAGAAACAAAATGAGTCATACCTGGCAGCAGAATGACCAGTATCCTGAGCCTCTCAGGATGATGTGGGCCTCTCTGATGATGGTATGGACAGGTACATGGACTGTGATGTCTGCAGGGACCCCTGCAACCAGATGTGGAGAATGGGTGGGGAGGGGGCCAATGGATGCAGGATTTGAATCTCAAAGACAGGAGCACCTGGTCCACCCCACTAGAGTGGCACCTTTGCTCCAGGAAATCTGCTTCTAGCTCAGCAGGAAACTGTAGGGCAGGTGGTGTTGGTCAAAGAGGGGTGTGGCCAAAGATCCCTCCTCACCCAGGAAGGGGCAGGGACTGTGAGACTTGGGTCAGGTGGTGCTGGGTCTTGAGAAACAAATGGCCAGTGTCAGCAGTCCATGCCTCATTTGCCTACTCTCAGGTGTTTCTGTACCTCCCCCTCCTTCCTCTAACACATATCACCTCACATTTTCACCTTGGGATTGTTGCCTCAAAGTGGCCTTGGTCCTTTCCCCTGGTGGAGAGTTTAGGATCTTTGATCCCCCAACCTATAGGGTTTCCACCACATATCTTCATAACTCAGTCCCCAACGTTGTGTCCAAACTCAACAACCCTCCCACTCACAGCCCCCATCACAAGTGCACACAGGTTTCCCCAGCTCTGAACCATTCAGATCCTGGATTCTAGTTTTTCACTGGTCAGGATCTGGCCTTCCCTTCACCACGGCCCCAGTAAGTTTCACAGGCCTGATGCCACAATGCTAGTTTCACTTTGTTTAAGCAAAATATTGAGGCTTCTTCTTCCAGGTAAGATGTGTGAGTAGAGAGACAAGACACACAAGAGGAAATTAAAGATTCAAATAAAAGTTACATTGTTCCAAATTCAGAGATTTGTGGAATCAGAGAGGGCTGTAAGAACCACAATTCCAGGAAGAGAAGAGGTCATCTGATTTCCACACCTGGGTGAATTTGCTTAGTACACACAGTGAAACTCATAGGCAGAAGTTCACTACCAGGGAATAACAAGTAGATCGATATGTAAACATGTGGGCTGGCATAGGCTGATTGAAATATAGAGAATGTCCAATACTGGGATCCTTTTCCCCATAGATTTTTTAGGTGGGGATACAGAGGAAAAGAAAGCATTTTAGCTTCTCAGTTTATAGTACTTAAGAAGGTGTCTTCAATAAGTTTAGAAGAATGACCTGAAAGGCATGGATGTTTGAATAAAATCAAAGCTGTAACCTAACCTGAGTGTAATTTTTAAGTTTATTTTGAGAGAGAGCGAGAGAGCGAGCATGAATAGGGGAGAAGCAGAAGAGAGAGAATCCAACCAGGCTCCATGCAGTCAGCACAAAGCCCGATGTGGGGCTCAAACTCACAAACTGAGATTATGACCTGAGCTGAAACTGAGTTGCATGCTTAACCAGCTGAGCCACCCAGGTGCCCCGTTTTTAGGACTATTTCAATTCCTGATTGGAAGAAATGATGTAAGAGAATAATAAACTTCTCTAGGTAAAACAATATCAACTTCAGCCTCTTCCTTTTTTTAAGACCACGTGTGAAATCAATCAAACAAACAAAAAAACAACAAAAAAACAGACCATTGCAAAACAGGAAAGGTAATGGAAAAATAAAACAGACAAAATGAACAAATCCACATGTATCTTGAGATTGGACTTAGGAAAATTTTATATTACACTAAAAAGAAGTTATAAGAAACATGAAAAGATGGAGAAATTTAGTAGTTCTAGGTTTCAGAAAGTATGTCCTCCGACATTAATGGAGTTTAATAGACTTTACACACTGAAAACAAAAGTCAGTTTGAGGACACAACAATAATATATAATATTCAAACCAAAGAACAGAAATAAAGTGGGGGATTGAAAAGGGAATTGCATACTCCCTCATAATAACATTATAAATTAATAATAAGCATCTACATTCTCTTTTTTGCTACTTGTGAAGCAGGATTACTAATCATGTTCAAATGAGTACTAATGACTTGGCCTTCTCTTGTTATCCTGGCAGTAGAGAAGCACCAACTACTTTCCTAGCTTTCTGCATTTGCATGTGGGAGGTGCTGGGACTCCCAGGTCTCATTCTTGGTGATTTGTGGATTTGTAGCTGTTGTGATGGGGATATAGGCAAGGTCAGATTGTCTTTGCTTCTGCTTTCAGCTTTGCCAGTGTTTTTTGTCACTACAGAAATTATTGTAAGTATATGAGGCACTCAGGAAATAGGATACTCCAAAATGTCTTCAGCCACTTTCATGTCCTAGTTCTCACTGAACAAAACCCTTTGGCAACAAAATTCTCGTCTTCCCAGTAATGATTCTTTCCCACTTATTTCTTGGTTTAGCAGATACACATCACTGAGTTTTCTTCTGCATGCAAGTGTGTTGCTCAATTGAATGAGTACAAAGTGATTACTGATCTAGAATCTTTCCTGTGCAATTTATTTAAAGGATAAATGAAAAGTATGTCTACATTGATTACTGACACAGATTTATCTCTGACATGTGACTTCTCCACTTTAACAGAACTGTGGATGAAAATTCTTCCACACTCACTTCATTTACATTCTCCCAGGTCATATATTGACTCCCAGGTCAGTCCATTATCTAAAGGCTTTGTCATACAGATGGCCCATATATGGATTCTCTCCCATTTTGGATTAACTTCAGTTGAGTGAAGTCATAAGGATGAATAAAGGCTCTCCCATACGTACATACGTAAGAAATACAAACGTACTTTCCCATACGTAAGAAATACAAAGTGTTTCTTAGGTGTTTGGGCCCTCAAGTGTGTTTATAGTTTGAAGCTATAGGTGGTGAATCTTCTGCATTTATTACCTTTACATGTGTTTTCTCGTGTTGTCTAAGGTTAAAATATTTACTGAAGGCTTTCCCACATACATAACATTTATATGGTTTTTCTCCAGTGTGGATTCTCTTATGCAGTCTAAAGTTATAGCTTCTATTGAAGGCTTTCCCACATACATTGCATTCGTATGGTTTCTCACCAGTGTGAGTTCTCTCATGTCGTCTAAGGACAGAAGAGTGATTGAAAGCTTTCCCACATAGGTGACATTCATATGGTTTCTCCCCAGTGTGAGTTCTCTCGTGTCGTTTAAGGACAGATGAGTCAGTGAAGGCTTTCCAACACAGATGACATTCATACGGTTTCTCTCCAGTGTGGGTTCTCTCATGTCGTCTAAGGACAGAAGATTCAGTGAAGGCTTTCCCACATAGATGACATTCATATGGTTTCTCTCCAGTGTGAGTTCTCTCATGTTTTCTAAGGTGAGAACAATGAGTGAATGCCTTCCCACAGAGGTGACATTCATACGGTTTCTGTCCATTATGAGTTCGCTCATGTTGTCTAAGGTAAGATGTTTTACTGAATGTCTTCCCACATAGATGGCATCCATATGGTTTCTCTCCAAAGTGAGTTCTTTCATGTTTGTTAAGGTCAGAACAATGAGTGAAGGCTTTCCCACATAGATGACATTCATGAGGTTTTTTTCTAGTGTGAATCATCTCATGTCGCCTAAGGTTATAACTCTTACTGAAGGCTTTCCCACACAGATGACATCCATATGATTTCTCTCCAGTGTGAATTCTCTCATGTTTTCTAAGGTCAGAACAATGAGTGAAGGCCTTCCCACATAGATGACATCCATGTGGTTTCACTCCAGTGTGAATCAGCTCATGTCGCCTAAGGTTAGAACTTTTTCCAAAAGCTTTCCCACATTCATGACATTCAAATGTTTTCTCTCCATTTTGAGTATTATTGGGTTGTCTAAGGGCAGAGCTTTGAATAAAGGCATTCCCACCTTGATGACATTCATATGGTTTACTTGTAGCATGACTCTGCTTATGTATATTAATGGATGTCAAATAACTGCTGTCTTGTCCACATTTGTTGCCGATATAGGGATTCTTTCCCATTTTAGGTACCACATATTGAGTCCACGTTAATATTTCAGTAAAATTTTCTCCCAAATCATTGCATTCAAAAGGATCTTCTTGGGTGTGAGATTTCTGGTTTTTGAAAGGAAATGAGAGACTGTTAAAAATTTGCTCATATTTATTCCTTCCTTCATTTCATCTACATATAAATTCTACAGTCATCATTCAGTGACAGTCCTACAAAACTTTTTATATTAGTTACGTAAACACAGGGTATTACATTCCAGCAAGCAAAGAGATTTCTGTAGCATCCTAAATGCACAGATATCATTATTACATTTCAACTGTTAGGTATAAGTCATGATTATGCAGCTATCTCTTTACAAGAACTCAAGTATGGTTTTGACCTCAGATTAATTTCTTCCCTAAAAATCAAACTAACCAAAACTTCCTACTATGAAAGCCCTTGATTCCAATCTCAATTATGGTTGCGTAACTATGCCCAATTCCTTACTTATTCAATACCCACATCATTTGTAAGAACAGGTCCACACCCTTAAAGCTTACCATTGCACTGATTAATGTCGTGTCCTTCTTGTAGATATGTTGCATGAATATTATTTCTTGTTTTTTAAGATCATCTTCCCTACCTGAAAAAATTGGGGAAAAAATTGCCACAGTGACACTGAGGGAATTAAAATGCTGAAGACACTAAATGCTCATTTGAATAGGTTTCAAATACTAACAGATGGGAAGGAAAAATGCCAAATTAAGGAATACTTTAAGAAGAAACAATTATAGGACATCAGCAGTTGACATTTTCAGGACTGAAATATGAAAAACATAAGATGGAGATGACAATTTGGGAATGAAAAGAGAGGGAAAATCTTCATAGAAGAAAGAAACAGGGACATTTTTGTGAATTGTCACCAGTAAGTACATAACTATTACCCTCCCCAAGCCAAAGACAGAATAGAAATTGACACCTATAAAGTATAATGTCAACATCTGAAGAAATTTCCCCCATCACATTGTCTATCTTAAAAAAAAAGTCACTAAATTTCATTTCATGATTCTTAGGGCCTACTCACTCACTGACTAGGCTCTTCATGTAGCTCACCTAGACTCTGGAATTGCAGCAAACCTATCCCTTCTGTGGAAAGTTGCTCTCCTTGTTCCAAGTGGAAAATTGTATCTAATTTGTAGAGTTGTTTGCCTGTTAGTAGAAAAAAGATAATCAAATTTTGGGTTTTGTGCCCCAAACAGTACATGATCATCAATATAGGGCCAACTAATGAGAAAGAATAAGGTAACCTCTAAAAGTCATCCCAGGGAAGAATATGTTGGAAACAACATGGATAGTCCTTCACCAACAAAAGCTTAACTCTTCACTTGTTCCCAAAGACATTAAGGACCTATTACTGACACCCAACCAAGTTCAAAGACAAACCGTGCAATCTTCGATATTTTAATACAGTAAGAAGATACAAGGTCTCACAGTGTTTAAATACTGTATCCCAAACAAATCCAATAAATAATAACTCCACCAGAAACATCTAGATTCTATGTGGAAAAGTTTTTTGTTTTGTTTTTTTTAATACTGTGGTCTGATCTAACCACAGCCCCCACAGGAAAAAAATTCTTTTTTAAAAAGTCAATACATTTAGTTATCAATTCAAAAATAATGAGTTCTCACCACTGTTTGAGTGTTCTGGAGATTAAGTAGCAAGAATGGCATGAAATTGTGTGAGGAAGATTACATTCTAGTGGGATGACAAATTAAAGTAAAACGTGAAGAAGACTGCTGTAAGGTAGTTGTGAGAGTTAAGAAAGAATCAAGACAGAATCTGTGGTGAGAAATGAGGAAGCTCTTCTACATGGCTGTTGAATGAATGAGTGAATGGATAAACGTATACATACATGATAAATAGTAAGAGACTCACCAACTGAGACTAGATGACTTATGTTCTCCAGCATCACATCTCTGAAGAGTTTTCTCTGGGACCAGTCCAGTAGGGTCCACTCTTCCTGGGTAAAGTCTACAGCTACATCCTCAAAGGTCACTGATTCCTAGAGCATTATGGACATTGTTTTCAGACAGGGCCATTTCTGCCAATATTCAGGGGAGCGTGGTATATGTAACAGCACTAAGGAAGTGGGGGCTGCAGGTACAGAACATTCAAATAGGATGCTGGGTTCGGTCATTGTTTGCAGTGCACACCTGGACATCTGACTTTCAGATAGACCCACAGGCATACACATTCTAAATACATAACTTTCATTATAAAGAGATATCAAGTGAGATGTGGCATAATATAACCCAAGAATTTCCCAATAAACTTGTAATTAAGACTTCCAGTTCGGGTTACCCAGGTGGCTCAGTTGGTTAAGTGTCTGACTCTTGGTTATGACCTCACAGTTTTGTGAGTTTGAGCCCTGCATCAGGCTCTGCGCTGACAGTGTGAAGCCTGCTTGGGATTCTCAATCTCTCCCTCTCTCTCTTCCCCTACCCCACTTGTGCTGCCTCTCTTTGTCTCAAAATAAACTTTATTAAAAAAAAAAAAAAAAGGCCTTCACATCATGAGTATAAAAGTTTCTCCTGAAAACTTAAAACTCTATTCTCCACCAATTTCAAAAAATCTATGGACTCATTATATACAACCTGCCACTTTTTAAGTACTATGATTAGATTATTCCTCTTTATGACTTCAGTTTCATCATCCATGAAATGGTGTAGTGACCTTTTATGAATTCTTAAAGATCCAATGACATAGCAAACTGCTAATGAACAAACATTTTTTTAATTTTTAGAAATTTTCAAATGCTTTTGAGAGAGCATGTGCATGCACACATACGCACGTGAGTGAGTGTGGGAGAGGCAGAGAGAAAGAGAGAAAGAGAGAGAGAGTCCAAAGTGTGGAGCCTAAACTCAGGTCTGTAAGATCATGACCTGAGCTGAAATCAAGAGTTGGATGCTCAAGTGACTGAGCCACCCAGGCACCCCTAGCAAATATTTCACTAAACACAACTTCTAGTTTTATTATTCAATAAATGTCAGATGATATTGAAGCACTGTCCATAATTCTGCAAAACTGAAAACAATTCATACAAGATGGGAAATCAGCAGGCACATCCTTTAATTTTCACATAACTACACTGTTCATTACAAAGTATAAAGCTAAATGGTTCATGAGCACAAGCCAGAGGCTCTGAGACTTGTGTAATGAAAGACAGTATTTCCTGACCCTTCCTATGGCCTGAGTCCTCCCAATAGCAGTTAACACTGTTTTTTGTTTCTTTATCTTGTGTCTCAGTTCAAGCATACTTAAAGCCAGTATTGTTCTTGTCTCTTCAATTCATCAAAAGTTTCCAGAGGTCCTTAAATTTTATTTTACCTCCTATGCTCCTTTTACTGAATTACAGCCAAAACTAAGAAAACCATACTCCCTATACATTGTTTCCAGTTACCAAATCTGAACAGAGGGAAATTACAAAGAGGGGAAAAGTAGGATTTGGTACATGAGAAGTAATGAGAATTTGTTTTCTCTTTCATAAATTTCAAAAAGTACAAATACATTCTATCAAAACTTTTACAAGGTTTAAATTTGGGGGAAAAAAAGAGAATGACTCCTCATTGGCTTCTCCAGCATGACCACCATTCATCTTCCCTCAATATTAATTAGCATTCCCTGCAGCAAGCACATAGAATACTGCATTGGAGCTCACCTGTGGGAACAGCTGCCTAACTATTGGGCTGTAAGGTTTTGCTCTTAATCATCTTTATCACCTGCACTGACCTCAATCCTAAGCCCAATATAGTCAATAAAATGGTTAATGAGTGTATCTTTGGTGCTAAGAAGGCCATGGGATGGATATGGAAAAAGAAAATCTCTGATACCTGTCTTGTAAATACCCGGCATTAAACTAGGCTGATATCTTAGTGTAACATTGGGAAGGAAATTACCACATGAAGAATCCTTAATTTCATAGTTCTTGGAAAACTTCAAGTTCAGATTCTTGAAAAACTTGAGTGTACTTAGAACATGAATGCTTGTAGGAGATACATAGCCATATGATGGCAATGGACATTTCAGTAGAAAGAATAATTCCCTACTCACTTGTGATTCCATTCTGTCTTCTGGGTTTTCACTCATATAGTCCAAGCAACAGGAGGCAAAGCTGAGGAAGGAGAAAGGAGCCATGAAACTCCAGTTGCCCACATTTTCCATACCCACTTGTTATGAAGCCCCAGTTCTTTACCTGGAAGTGATCCCCAGCACAAACGACAGAAACATGCACTGTACTCCAAAGGAAATGGGGTTGCAGGGGGATGGCTCTCCACTACCAGGGAAAAAGTTAAGGCTCTGACTCTTGTTGCTTGGAGAAAAGATAGAAGTACCCTCAATTTAGGAAGAATGTGAAAACCCACTTCCTCCTGATTCCAAAATAGGATTTCTGGCATATGTGGAACCCTTGTGAAAGTTCTCAGGCTGAGGGATTAGTTTGTGTACTGACTAGCACTTTCCTTGGCTCCTCAGCCCTCTGGTATCTCACTCCATTCCTATTTTTCCCTGCCCTCAGCCCTCTGAATTCCGTATCAATCATGGTCTCCTCCAAGAAGGGTCTCCAGCAATATCACCCCCTCAACATTTACCTTTCGATTTGTTCTGAATGGGTTTGGTTATGAAACAACAGAATTAAGAATGCATTTTATGGTAAGGTTAATCAATTCAGTGACTTACTTCATTTTGAGGATCAATGACACCCATGCCACATATTTAACCCTTAAAATCCCCTGCATCAGAAAACTGTAGGAACATGTGGGTTATGGCATTATTGTCATGTCTAACAATCTTTACAGGGTAGTACTCCCAGAAATTATACAATGAAAGGATTTTAGGAGGGCATTTATTTACTCCAACTAAAGTTTTAGAAAATTGTTCACTGAAATCTGCATTAGATACAACTTTCCTGAATTTCATGGTTTGATTTTCTGTATGTGTATATCTCTGAAAACATTTATAAATTGTAAATCCTCCCCCTAAAACATCCATAGTAAGTAAGTATATTTCATGGAGAAATGATAATAATAAGTCATAAACATAAGTGGGTTCAACTCACCCATTTGTATCTCACATCAAGACAAGATAACAATAGTTTTAGTTTATGTGACTTTGTGCTTGGAAATTTACATACAGTTGTTCATTTATTTCTCAAAATAATTCTGCTAGTTATCGTTTTGTTATTAATTTATTAATCAATGCCATCATCATCAGTCCAGGAAACTTTAGTCATAGGACACAACTACACGCACACCAGCATATACATACACATAAGCATATGTTAGAAAGTGGTATAGGTAGAATTTGAATTTTCCTTTCCTGCCTCCTAATATCAGATTCTTTAAGGGTTACACATCCCACCCAGATTTTACCTGGAATAGTACCCCTAACATTAACGATCAGAGGTGCCACCCTGTTTTTATCTTACTCTCCTTGTTTTTTTTCATAAAATTTGTCCCTGTGTCCATGTTTTCTACCACGTAAGAACCATGGCACTGTCAGAATTCCTAAATGTTAGCCTCCAGCCCTCCTCATTGTTACTGCCCAGTTTAATTCTGTCACCCATTTCGATAGATATTTGCCCAGACTAACGTCATTTATGTCTTTTTCATTATATCTGCTAATCAAGGCCCCAACAGAAAGGGACTCCAAATACCTGCCTGTTCCATGACTGTATCTGGCAGCACAGCATTAGAATACTGACCCTTCTCTATATGTGAAGTCACAACTCACAGTGGCATCCACATATATCTGGCAACACTGTTCTTGTTTGGTAACTAGTAAGTCTTCCATGTTCCTTAAATATTTCAAATCTTCTCCATCCTTTGAACTCTTTGATTTCTCCCCCCACTTTCCAAAAATGAGATTTTTCCACTAAATAAATGAATTATATAACTTGATGTTTTATTTCCAGAGTGAACAATCACTGTAAGAATTGATTTTACTATAAGTAGGATATTTTTCTATTTTATTTTATTGTGGTAAAATTCATACAACATTTACCATTCTAATCATGTTTTTTTAAAGATTTTTAAACAATCTTTACACCCAACGTGGGGCTTGAACTTACAACCCTGAGATCAAGAGTCACACGTTCCACTGACTGAGCTCCACTCCAGTCCAAGTGCCCCTCATTCTAATCATTTTCAAGTGTATGATCCAGTGGTGTTAAATACATTCATAATGTTGTGTAACATCACCACCATCTATCTCCACAACTCTTTCCATCTTCTAAACCTGAAACCTTGTTCCCATTAAACCACTCCCATTCCTCTTCCCCACCCTCACCCTCTGACAACCATGGAATTTCTACGATCTCTAAATAGTATATATTTTAAATTGATGGCAAAGGAATAAAAATTTTAAGATATTAAGACATTCCTAATAGAATATATTATTTTGGAGGAAAAATCATGCAATGTATTTTCCTTTCAGGTAGGATGCCATAAGAAATATTTTGTTGTAGGGGCGCCTGGGTGGCTCAGTCGGTTGAGCGCCCGACTTCAGCCCAGGTCATCATCCTGCACTTTGTGGGTTCAAGCCCCACGTTGGGCTTTGTGCTGACAGCTGGGAGCCTGGAGCCTGCTTCAGATTCTGTGTCTCCCTCTTTCTCTGCCCCTCCCCTGCTTGTACTCTGTCTCCCCAAAATAAATAAACATTTAAAAAAATTAAGAAAAGAAATACTTTGTGGTTTTCTAAACATTTTAATCTTCTGACAGCAAAAGATCTTTAGTATATTTTAGTAGAAAACCATTAGTTGACGAATGTTTTGATTTTCATGTATCTTTGATATGTTCTGTCTTTTCAACCTATTTACTGCAACATCTGAGTCTTTGAGAAAAAAGTGATGATCTCCTTTTGTCATTAATAAATATATGTTTCAAGGGGCACCTGGGTGGCTCAGTCAGTTAAGCATCCCGCTTTCACTCAGATCATGATCTCACAGTTTGTGAGTTCGAGCCCTGCGTCCAGCTCTGTGCTGACATCTCAGAGCCTGGAGCCTGCCTCAGATTCTTTGTCTCCCTCTCTCTCTGCCCCTCCCCCACTCATGCTGTCTCTCTCTCTCTCTCTTTCAAAATAACTAAACATTAAAAAATTTTTAAATAAATTATGTTTCAAGTCAAAGACTATACCAAACAATGAAATTACATGGACGAATAAAGCAGAGAGATCATCTGTTCTTGAGGAGTTGTCTAGTTTAGAACTAGAGATTTTTAAAGAAATAATGACAAGGATATTCTATATACATATACTAAAACATTTCATTTGCGGAAGTGGGGAAACACTCTTAAAATGCACATATCATTTATCTGATACCTTAAAATTTTACTTGGGAAAGCATTAGAAAGTTCAGCAGAGATACAAATAAGCTCACCCCTGTACCTGCACCCTCCCCACCCTCATGAGGGAGCAAGCGTAACACTGCAGACACACTGCAGTGCCCAGGGTGCCCAGGGAAGGAGAACATACTGGCAGGCAGCTGAACAATGGGATAAACCTGAGATGGTGGCAGGCAGGTGGACTTCAGGGCCCAAAGGTCATTGTAACTGGACTCGTCTTTCTTTCAATTTTTAAAGCTAATGGGAAGCCACTGGAGAATTGCAAGCAAGAAATGGGAACAGATATTTGTTTGCAAATTAGTCTTTGCTGAAGAATGCAGTAAAGCAATTAGGAAGAGTTTGATTAATTTTCATACTTAGGTATTTGTCTGGCATAGGGTGTTGACAGTGAAAGCATATGAGAACAAAAGAAAAGGAAGTATAAAAATAATACATTTTTAAGTTTGTCAGTTATTATCGATCGCTAATTATGAGTCAGACTGTGCTAATCATGAGTCAGGCTGTGTATGTACTTAAAAAAAAATTTTCCTCCTTGAATGCATTTAAAATACAATAAAGACATAAATATTAAGTTGCAACACTATGTTACCATATAACCTGAAGATATTTTCTTAGAGATGTAACCTTTGCATTTGGTTGGCCACAGTGTAAAGCAAGCAAGAACTGCTGTACATTTTAATTTTAAGCCTCTGGAGAAGAGTTAAAGCCAAAACCTTCAGTGAGTTTAAAAACACTTATAAACCAAGAGAAGAAAAAAGGAAAGAAGACTTTTCAGTTTTCAGATGTTCACAAATAAACCACATATTTATAAAAGAAGAATAAAAAGAGTAAATAAAGAATGAAATGAAGAAAACAAATTTGACAGAAATTAATAAAAAGTCTGCACAGTGAAATCAAGCAATTACAAAGGACTTATGAAAAAAATAACATTGGCAAATAAAATAGACCGTGTATTCATTTAAAAGCAGTAACTTAAATGTAAGAAAAACAGGAATTATATTGTTATTGTAAATATAGGAGAAATTGGTTAATTTCCAAGAAAATGTTATGAATATTCACTCACAAAGAAGAACAATGCCATCAGCCAATTTTAATACATAAACTATATATATCAGATTCCATCCATACAATGGATTTGTGATTTCTCCCAAAGCACTTATACAACATTGTCAAGTGTAGTTTATTGCAATAATGAATGCTTCAATACTAGAAAACATATTACCTTCATTAAATAATTTTAAATACCCCAATAATTAGATCACATCAATGGACCCTTAGAAAAACATATGACCTTTCAAAATAATTTCAAATCTTTAAAAATCATGTCAAATAGGGGGGAATAATTCTTGCTAATCAAGAA